GGGACTCTCCAGATGGGCTGGGAGATGTGTTCAGGTCACATGGGACGGACGCCGTGTCTTCAGGGCCAGGCTAAGTCACCACCCTACCTGGCCTTTTAGTTTCATATGTAGCAGACTGACACCTAAGAAAGAAAGAAATGGAACTTCAAAACACATAAATAGAAGTACATCGCTGCCTTAGAACGCTACTTATGTTTTTACTTCTAAAAATTGTCTCTTAACATTTCGATCACTTACTGTGAAGAGGTAGTGAACTAATTGTGTTACAACCTTCTTTAACCAGCATGCAGAGCCTGCGCCTGCTGCCAGGGTGCCCAGCCCTCCCGCAGCCCGAGGCAGCCTGACACCTAGTTCTGCCAATGCGGTGGGTGTCGGGGTCGTGCAAGCGGCTTCCATGCCTGCTTTCGACAGCTCCTTTGCTGGTCTTTACGTCTTCTCCTCCTGCTCTGCTGGCTCCAGGGCCACCTGGAATGTTCAAGCAGAAGATGGTGGAGTCGCAAGGCAGAGTGACATTTGTCTCAAGCCACCACTTGGAGGAGAGCTGCTTGGTGATTAGGGGACACACTTTGAACTGTGAGTAAGCAAGACATAGCTACCACTATGAGGCCCCTGAGATGCCTGCTAGCAGTGATGCATGCATCAATTGGTGAGTTGCATAACATTCCTGTGAAATGTCATCTCCATTTTACAGATGGAAGACCAAGAATGAAAGGGATCACATTTCTTTCAAGAGGCAGAGGTAAGATTTGAACCTGGGCCTGTGATTCCATGTGCCTTACATTCCCCCTCCCCCCCCCCTCCCCCTCCCCCCCCCCCCCCCCTTCCCCCCCCTCCCTCCCTCCCTCCTTTCCTGCCCTCCCTGTTGTCCATCTCTCTGCCTTTCTTCTTTCCTCTTCCTTCCATCTGCTCTCCTTCCTGCAGAGAACTTCACCTAAGGGCTGGATGGAAATGGACCATGGGGTCAACGCTGCACAAGCACATCAACCAACAGATGGCGGTGACAGCCCCTTGTTGGCTGTCACTCAATCTAGGAACAAAGGGGCTTAAGGACACCTTAAAATGACTGCCCTGCTCACTGCATGGAGGAGTTTTCTGGGTGCCACGCTGCCTCGTCTCTGGTAAGGAATGATCTCACCTTCTTGAGCATTACTGCTGCCGACGCACTCCGACCTCTGGGACTTCTAGTTTGATTCTCTGAAAATGAGGAAATCGGCTTAGAACCCTTTGATCATCAGTTTTCCCTTCAAGCTCCGACATTCTGGTGTGCAGGTGGCACACACTGTAAGGAGCTGGTCGGCTGCCCGGGCGTCCTCTTCCCTAGGCGGGCAGCGTGGCGCGCGGGCAGCGTGAGCTACAGGCCAGTGCTCTGGGGCCAACTTTAAGGGCTTCTAATTTGTTTTAGTTAGCCTCTCCATATTTTTAGATTTCCCACCATTGAGCACACGTATAATTAAAATAATGTGGAGAAATCAATCCTCGTGGATGCCGGGTTGTAAGGAGTGACAGAGTGGCGGAGTAGGAGGGTCCAGAGCCCCCTCTGCCCCACGCACAGTGTGGCGCCAGGTGAGCACCCCACCCACCCGAGGTCAGATTCCCCACCCTCAAAAGGAGCCAGGTGGTTTGTGTCTCGGGCTCACGGCTCTGTGGGTGAGGCCCACCCGTGCGCCGGCCTGGAGAGCTTGGTGCGAGGGGTGGTTCAGGGCCACCCTGGGGGCCATCGAGTGCTGTCACCCCCTCTCACTTTCCTGGTGTGCATGCAGACCCCACCCCTCCCCAGGACGGAAGGCTCTCTCCTGCTCGGTCCCCGCAGCAGGACTGGCAGGCGCAGGAGCCTTGGCCTCTGAGTCAGGAGCTCCAGCTCCTCTTGCTGTGGCGCATCCCTTAGCTTCAGGCGCTCACCCAGCAGGCCCTGGAGGGACCAGGAGGCACCAAGGAGGGAAGCCATCTGGGAGCCACTCCACGCCGTCCTGCAGGGGTGACACGAGACCGCTTAGACGCAGACATGCTCATAGCACATCCCGTTCCAAACACGGGTCCTCGCGGGAGCCGCAGCCTGAGGGCTGCTGAGGGGCGGCACCCTGCTCTGTGCAGACAGAGCCGAATCCCACTCCCCACGGCATTCCAGTGGCTGGCACAGCTCTAGCCTCTGCCGAAGCCTCTGAACCCTGCAGGAAGAGGAGTTTCAGAAGCAGGCCCTCCGAACACTTCCTTCCTTAATGTGGGATATTCAAAAACTATTAAAGCTGACTGTGCACATCTACCTTTTATTAAGCACTTAGTATGTGCAAGACGTCATGCTAAACATAGCACACATATCATTTGCCCAGTTTGCACACCCTGGAAGGCAGCACCCTTGGTGATCACAATAGCTTTTATCCCTGTAAGTGATAAACATCATGACAATTATTATTAAGTCAATAATTACTATTAATGTGCAAGATTGAATAACTCGTCCGCAGTCTTAGAGTTTGCAAGTGGTATTCAAACTCAGCGTTTATCTGGCCTGACCATCTCTGTGCTTAACCCCTGCCTCTCACCTTCACCCTGATCATACCCATCGGAGGCACAGTTCAGGGCTCTAGAGATCTGTGCATGCACAACACTGACTCTACCTTCAAAGCTTTCAGTCTTGTGTGGGGAATCAGTGGACAGAAATGTGTGTAACTAACTGTACTCACAGAACGAGCTCTTAAAGGAGGGTGGGAGGCCTGGTGATAAAGAAACCTGGAGTGGACCGAGGTAGAAGACCCATGGAAAGTCCCTGACCTAACCTTGACATGATGAAGGGGTGGGGTTGTAGCTGAACACCGGAGATGGTGAGAATGGAAAAAGGTATAGAGAAAGAACAGTTATTATTCAGGAACAACTTGGATTTGGGAAGGAAGATGAGGAGATCGGTTCCCTATGATGACCTCTGCACCCCCAGTGAACCTCAGCTCCTGGCATTGATGCCTGGCGCTGGCCAATGGCCCTCTGCAGCTCTGCCTGCTGAGGCAGGGATCTCTCTGTGGGAAGTCACGCTGTGAGCCACCAGGATCCTGCAGGAGACCACATGGGCAGGCACCTGTGAGAAGTAATATGTGCTTACCGGAGTTTGGCTAGAACTTTGGGGTTTGATTTGGGGTTTGGGGGTGATTTAAGCAACAATCCATAGCTAGCAGAGGAGCCATCAGATTACTTCATGATTTTAAGCATGGTTGATGCTGGAGCTGATTTCCTTCTTTCAAAGCATAAACCATTTAGGCTACTTTGTGACCCACCAATAAGGTCTTTCAGGAAACAGCCATCTGGCAATCGAAAACTAGACAGAAACTCTTTAAACCTTTAAGACTGTCTGTCCTAAACGTGTCATGTGATGGGGCGGGGGCCAGCCTTCAAAATACTTAGCTAAATTTCTTTAAAACCTCCTTTCCCCGTCGTATCATTGTCGCCTTGATCAGCCTTAAAACCTGTCTCTAAGATCTTTCAAAACACCACCGCATACTCTCAAGCCAGGAGGCTTCTGCGGCTGCCTCCTCTGGACGAGTCTCATCATGCAGCTCTCTGTTTGTCTCTGCCTTCCGGGCCTTCTCCTCTTCCCATTGCTGGTGTCCTGCACAACAAAGGGGGCTCAGGAGCCATCCTGGGGGCAAAGACCCCTGTGGGGTGGTCAGGAGGAGGATTGAAGGGAGTGTCCCTGCCAAATAGGACAAATAAGCAAACAAAAGTGCCCTGTGATTTATTTTCATGTGTATATTCACTAAGAGACCAGCCCCAGGTGGCAGCCTGCTTTGAGACAGTCTGCTTGATGTCTGTGACACTGGGGACAGCATATCTGTGTCTCAGTGTCTTCATATGCAGAGTGGCACCATCTGCCGCTGGCTCCTGGGGAGGTAGAGTGGGGTCACTCAGAGCAACTCTGGGTGCCTGTCCTGTGGGGTGAACAGTGCATGCTGCTGGAGGGTGCGCGTCCTTCCGTGCTACCCACGGGGGCAGCTGAGTTAGCTGCTAGCATTTGCTGCTCTTATTTGGGAGATGACCTCTCTCATTGTCCAGGCAATAAGTGGCTGTGGTCTTGGTGTCACCTTGAATACCATCCGTCCCTCCAGCACAAAAGCTGGAAGCACTTAATTCTGATTTATATGGTGACATATGAGAGAGAACTTCCTGACTAGCATGGCAGTTGCTGAATCTCACTACCTAGTGAGACTTAATGCAACTGCATAACCATTTTTTGAGTCCCTAATAGTGCCAGGATAGTTCTAAGTACGTTGGTTGCACCCGTGCATAGAAAGCCCAGCTAACCTCCACTCACTGGTACTGTGTGTGCACACATTAGGCCCCAAGAGTGTGTACGAGCCAGAGAGGAGAGAGGAGGCAGGTAATGACAGCTAGCATGTCCTATGCCAGGTGTTTTATTATGTCTTATCCTCACCAGAGTGCTTCAATTCACACCTTCATTTTATAAAAAAGAAAAGTTCAGTTGATGGCCACTAAGCGACTTGTCACAGTTAAAATATGAACAAGCAGCCGAGGTTTCCTCTCACCGGGGCTGTTTGCCCCCAAGATGGAGCCCTTTAGGTCGTCCCAGGAAACGCACAGCGAGCAGGCGGCTGCCCCACCTTCTGGGTCCACACCACCAGCTGCATGGCTTGTCTCGGGTCTGTTCTGCCGGGCTCCCTGTGTGGCTCTGCTAGAGGGTGCGGCACTCTGGTGCCTCCGTGACCTGGGCAGGGGGTGAACCAGCTGGTGAAGGGCAGGGAGCTGGGCGAGCGGGACGGGTGTGGCAGGCTGGAGGGGCAGCCTGGGTAAGGGCCTGAATGCAGATCCAGGGACAGGGAGGGGCTGTCATCTCCCCTCACTTTAAACGTTGAGTCAACGTGCCCTAACATTTTTAAGATGCTGTTTGGATTAAACATCCCACTGGCCAGAGGCAGGAAGGTGTCTGGCCTGCAGATTCCCCTCTGGAGAGGACAGTTCTGACGTCCTTGGGTCTCTGTGTGTTGTCTGGGCTCCCCCCAAATTTTGACAAAATACACTGAGGAGGGAGAGGGCAGGGTAGGCCAAGGGGGTGAGGCTGGCATGGGGTCCATAGCAGGAGAGAGCGAGGTCGGTGGAAGTCTGAGGGGAGGAAGAGGAGGAGAGGTCGCAGGCAGCTGCAGCCAGCCTGTCCCTGGAAGCCTGTTTCCTAACACGGGGGACTGAGCAGGTGTCCTGGCTCATGAGGTCAGGTGGGCGGGCGGCAGGACTGTGCAGACCAACCCAGGAATTTTTCCTGGTTGCTGCTTTTATCAGTCTTTCCTTCCTCGCAAGTTATAAATTGTTCCCTGCTGTCTCTGTGCTGTTTAGAAATGCCTTGGGCTGGCTTGGGGCATCTCAGAAACCCAACAAAAAGGGAAAAGGGTGGAAAACTCAAACCCAAGGCTGCCACTGAGGTCCAAGGTCCCAAGACCCTCCTGCCTTTCTCGCCAGGACGGAGCCTGGACCTGGTGGGCGAGCCAGGACCACCCATGCACATGGCAAGCGTCCTGCCGATCAAGCAAGCACGTTTACAAGCTAAACGCAGTGGGTCCGGCCCTGCCGGGGTGTGGGGGAGTGAGAGAGTGGGCCCGAGGTGTGCAGGCCTGCGGTGGGGCTCTGCCCCAGGCTCCCTGTTCTAAGCCCAGCTGGTTCCTCCAGGGGGCCAGAGGAGGCTGAGCATGTTCTGAAACTTCTTTTTTCCACTTTGTGAGAAAAAATTACACAATCTGAGGTCATGTTCGCATGGTGGATATGCAGTTTTCACATCATGAAAACGCAGGTGCTAAGTGAGCCTGGATGTGCAACACTCCTACGCAGAAACCAGCAGCGGCAGACCCAGCGTCGGCCCAGCCAGGGTGGCTTGCACTCCCAGGGTGGGAAGGAGGCCCAGGTGAGGGTGGAGCCTCCCAGTGTCTAGGCTGGGGAGCTGCTTCCTGGAGCCCGGGAACCGGACGGGTTGGAAAAGACCCAGCCGTGTTCTGACCTCGGTGTCTGCTTCCAGGTTTCACAGTGCCCCCCCTCCACAAGCGAGAAAGATCTAGACCAACTAAGGTCAAGGCTTCTCATTGAGGGCAAAGGGGCCCGACCTTGACCTGCCGGGGTCAGAACTCCCTGCAGGGACAGGAGAGAGGTGCAGACCGTTGTCCTCGGCAATGGAAGCCCACAGAGGCAACTCTGAAGGCTCCCCAAGGACAGCAGCTCTCAGCTTGCCCGTGCATGAGGGCCACCAGAGACAGAAAGAATGGGAAGACAGTGCCTGGACCCCCCAGAAAAGGCATGAGCTGGGCAGCTTACCCGGAACCGGGGCCGGCTGCAGGTCTGAGAAACGCACCCCCGGGCAGGGAGGGCTGAGAGGCAGTGTCCCCATGGACCCTTAAAAGGAAAAGCAAAACCAAACCCATCCCAGGAAGTGCCACTTCCCTAAACCTCCCCGTGGGAGGGAGGCCCGTACAGGGTATAGGGGACAAAGAGGAGAGGAGAGGCCAATAGCTTGTCCCCCACTGCAAATTCCAGGCGATTCCTGGTCTCCTTGCTATAAGAATAAAGCACCAGCTTTGAGCTCACGCCCAGGACCTCTGCAAGTCCCCACCCTCCTTCCTGGAGTGTCTCCTCTGGCTCATAGCTGTCACTCTCGGGCGCTGCTCCTGACAGCTCTTGGTGACTGAAGTGTTGGTGTCGTCCCTCTGACCCTGAGCTTGTCGGTTCCCTGGCTCCATGGGTTTCAGAGACGTCCCCATGTCATTGCCACCGCTTCTATGGCCACGTCCTCCTAGACCTAGCTCTCGACGTCGTCTTAGAGCCTGTGACCTCCATGCCAAGCCCAGCACTGCCCACGGCCCCGTCTTTGTAGCGTGCTCTCTGCAGTGGCTCCGCCAGGCTCACTGTGTGGATCCTCCCGCCTGGGGACAGCCCCAGTCCGGCTCCGGCGCAGCCCCATGTCACCTCTTCTTTCTTAACTCGCTGGCCAGATCTCACAGTGGCTCTGAATTCACAGGCACGCGGCGGCTGAGCTTGGCTGGAGAAAATCGTGCAGCCCAGCCAACTGCCCCCACCTAAATATACAATCGTCACCCTGGAAAGGGCTGGCAGGTGCCTAGAGGTCATGCTGCAAACCCCCATGTCTCTCCCGTATGCCCAGGGTCTGTCCATGTCCCCTCCCTCCGTGACTTCCTTCCCCGTCCTCAGCAGCTGATGACCTTGCTTCCATTTTCTCTGAGAAAACAGCAGCCCAGGCAGAAGGCCCTGTGCTCCCCCCACGGGGACACCTGGTGCTGTGCGGGATGCTTCTGTGGGCCCCCTGGAGGCTCCGCTCCTGCCCGGGGTCACTTAACTGCTCAGAGGCATCCCTGCAGATCC